ACCACTATCCTACCCACACCACTAAATCGTATTTTCAAATTAAGAAACGTTTTCACAGATGGTAAGACAAGGTACAAGGTATGCAGTTGGCAAGAAATTCACCTCGATGTCTAATTGATGAAACAAAACTGTTAAATGAAGCAAAAAATAAACAATGAAAATAAAAATGAAAATGACAATAAACCTGTTTAAACAAAAAAGAATGGTTATGATAACACAAGCGTTCTCGTAGATGTTACGAAAATGTGTGTGTGTGTGGGGGGGAGATATTTTACCCCCAATCTATTCATGATTTGCTATTTAATTAAAGCTTACCTTAATGCACGAGCGTTTTTCATACAAAGCATACTTCGTTAACGTTGTGGGGATTTGGGACAGTTTCTTAGAAGGATGGGTAAAAAAGATAGCTGCCAGTCCCTCAACTTGAAAGTCGTGTTGGCCACCCTCGGCACTGACACTGACAGCAAATGTCATCGTTCGGTTCGGTCCCCTTCGACCCTGCCCTACTCGAACAAAGCATTTTCCGCTCCGTGCTCTTCCTCCGTTTTCTTCGCCAACAGCTTGATACCCAGCCTCGTCGATGAAAGCAAATTCATACCGTTAAATGTTCTGCCTCAGTCATGCAGCATTGACGCCTGGTTGCTTCAGTCGTATCGGAATTTCTTTCCGCGGGAGCATCTTCGGGATTTGATTTTATGGTGATCAATTCACCGTAACTGCTTATGGTTGTCGTCAACTCAGTGAGCAAAGTAAAAATTCTTCTCACGCTGAATAATCTCGGTGGAATATATTTGCTTTTGCTATGTGGCATTTGAACTTGCTGTTGCGTTACACCAAAGAGTCTACACAACTATCTTTGGTTACATAACTGGATTTGCTATTTGTAGCCTACATTTGAACTTGTTACGCACAATCGTGCACTAAAATTTCCTATTGAACATTTGAACTTTCTTAAGCGGCGTGAAACTTTCTATGTGGCATTTGAACTTGCTATGTGGCATTTGTATTTTCTTATGTGTACATTTGATCTTTAAAAAAAAAAGAATAAAAGAGACGGCCTCGATCAGCTTCTTTGGAGAAATAGTTCGGTAGTTTTAAGGCAACGTTTTGGGGGTTTGTAAATTAAGAAATCTAACCATGGTTATTAATGAAAAAGCGACAGCAAATTGAAACGCATGCGATCTCAATAACGGAAGATATGAAAAACAATTTACTCATTTGTATCACAATGAGTCAATCAAAATAAACCCACTGTCACCCACTAACCGCCGGACTGAAAACAACTCAGTCTTACGACACATGCAGCCAGTTGAAAAAAAAAGAAAGAAAACAGATGTAAACAAACAAAAAATCCAACACTTAACTACCGTCGTTCTTGTTCTAATAAAAAAATCCATGCGCAGACCGTAATTAAAATATAGAGTCTAATAATGAAAATATAGAAAGCACGTCTTTATATTCGCACATGCACGAAGATCGAGAATGTTTAGGGTTTGTTTTTTTGGAATTCAGAGGCACATGCACCAAAAAAATCAGCACAATTCGCCACTTAGTTTCTGTGTAATGAGATCGAGAAGTTGTCCATTTGGTGTTGTCGGATCCAGACTTTACAATAGGCCGTAATGAAATTTACAAGCCGTACCCAAGGCTTTCTCAGACCCGTACCACAGATTCTACACTTCTAAGTGTAGAATTCTGTGACCAGTACTCAAGTCAAGTCATTGAGCCTTCGTGATTAAGTAATATCTGGTAATATTATGCAATGGACATGATCTAGATCTAGAATACAGACAAGGAGCTTAGAACTAACTGTAAACTCTTTGAATCCAGACCACCTTGGGCGATATCGCGAGACAGAAAGACACATAATAATTATTATACGAGGGAGGGTTTTTTTTTTTGCTTGTTTATTTGTTTTTGTTTTTGGTTGTTTTTTAAGGGTG